TTTTGTGTAAGCTTGTAAATTTAGCTCAAAGATCATTAATCGCCCGAACATTCATTCTAATTTTAAATTGGATTCAAGTCATACAAGAATCAGCTCGAAGTATTTTTATTTATTAAAATTATATATAATGCTAATAAAATCAAATATAATAAGATAAGAGCTGATTTCAAGATGAAACAGTTTCAAATAACTCAATTTGAGTAATGTTATTTGGATTTCTAGCCAAATTGAGCCAACTTCGAGCTGGATCAAAGTCAAATAACTCAATTTTGAGCCAACACAGTTCAATTTTGAGCTGGGACAAGCAAGTTTCAATTTTGAGCCAAGCTGGCTCGAAATCGAACATAACGAGCCACGAGTCGACTCAAATTCGGCTCATTACCCAGCATATGTTACAAGTAAGTGCATTTCAAAACTTTAAATCACATAAGAAAATACAAGTAATATTAACTCTCTAAAGTGAAATATACTGCACGAGTTTAAATGTGATTAAGACACCACAATATACAAATATAGCTGTCAGATATGCAAATACATAAAAATTAAGAAATCGAAATGTAGAGCTCCCAAAAAATAGTAGAAAACAATAAAATAATAGTAGCGTTGTATATTAAAATTAACTTATACATGCTATAGTAATCATCATATCATTGATGTGACAAAGTAAATGTTTTTAATTCCTTTCTAATCATTCTATATCAGACTGCAGAGATAAAGATGATGGAGAAAAGACTGTAGATGGTGAAGTAAGAGGCTCATGAACTACTGAATCGGAAGATATTGAGATAGGATTACCCTCCAGCTGAAGCATTAGGCTACCGAGAATATCAGTCATCATTTTCTTGAGCTGCTCCGGCTGTAGTATTTTCTTCTGATCCACCAGTCCGAATGCCTCATCCACAATTTTGTCAATCTGTTTAAAACATTAGAAAATTAAAAATATAAAAGAATCAAATCAAAACTTGATGATAGTATTAAATGCTAGGAAGATTTACATACATAACACTTAATTCCTATATATTTATGTATCTGACATCTAAACCTCAATTTTTACATATATGTTAACTTATCTATATATATGAAAAGATGTATTCAAGTTACAATGATAGTAATTTGAATGAGATATGAAAGATTTGAGTGGTATAAATGTGAGAAAGTGAAGTTTAGGTAATTGATATGTAAATACATAAGAATTAGGTGGTATGCATGAAAATGCCCCCTTTTTTTTTTTGAAACATTTACATACATTCTGCTTAGCCGATGCCAATACCGATATCACCAAAGATGGGTTTTATATTCATTTCATTTTATTTTATACTAAACACAAAAAAAGGTAATTTCCTACATTTGTTTTGCATGTAGCCTATCATGGTCCGTTAAAAATTCTCTTAGTCGTGATTAGTATTGGGAGCTTCAGAATTCACGTAGGTGTTCCCCTTTCTTTTAGTAGGCGCCAGTCTTCTTCATCTGGCCGCATTGCATCAATATGGATCAAATAATCCATTGGGTGTACATTCAGAGATGGATAAAATTGCTTCTTACCCTTATTTTTATGTAAAGGATCTAGTAAGTCGGGTAGCTTTTGGATTTTTTATGCTCAAATTTTTTGAAATTTTGATCAGAATTGGTACGTTTGTAACTAATAATGATTGATGGTCTTGATAGTCTAGCCTCAAGGGTCAGCTATGGTGACATAGCGACATTAGAGCACCAACAAAGGTATGAACACTATTGACGCATCCAACCACGAAGGATTGAATATTCGTCAAATTGCTGAACTTTAGAATATGGATAAGAAAGCCAAGGAGCAAGCTTAATATCTTTCGGTCTAAGTTGAAATCGAAGAAATTCGAGCAAATGACCTAAGATATAAGGATGTAGTGGCACACCTCTACCAAACCAGAAAAGAGAACCCTCCTGGAAAAGAATAAAACAATTTCTTTTGATACAAAATCGAAATTCTTCTGAACTTTCTCGAAAATGGAAAAGCTTTTAGACAATGTAAACGATTCAAAACTCTATAAGATGCGCCATGAATTCGACAGAGGGTGCTAAACCTCTGGACTCGATGACGATCCATGATACTAACACACCCATACGGGTGATGCGAGTTCATCAGAGAATTTCTTGAAACAGGTGACAGATCAACTGTCAATCCTGAAACAAAGAATCGTTTTGCAAACTCAACTGATCCAGTTCAAGTACGCAAAGACTTCATTAAAGAAATCTTTACCTGCAATTCAGAAAGAACTTGAATATACTGATCAGCAACTAAGTCGTCAACAATGACAACATCATCGCCTACAACATCATATCTGTCGAAACACTAGGGTACAGGGTCAACCTTCTCCGCAGCATACCAAATCATAAAATGATGAGATAGCGCAAACAAAGGCCAAGAGGCCAGATAACCCAGAGGTTGTCTTGCTACAAAAGACACACCAGACAGGACTCCCTTCTTATTTTTTCGACATAAAGAAACTGTCAAAGAATTGGTTGCCAATATAGAATTATGGTTGCCAATGTAGAATTGACAACAGCAGATGAGTACGACCTCCCAAAGAAATGTTGAAATATTTCAAACATAACTAAGAGAGGAAACCTATCAGTAGCATTAGAGAAATCTAGACTCTGACAGTTCAGACTCATAACAAGCCTATACAATGGGGATACCTGATTAAAGGTTCCGTCCATAGGTATGAATTTGAGGATCTCCATCAACCAATCATGAATTGGTGATAAAAGACGCTGATGAAGAGAATTCCCTCTAGCGAAAATCCTCCTCTTGGTACCTTGTTGGACAGACTGTGAAAGTCTACCAGTCAGCGCACCAGGAGTAGCTTCAGTAATCGAATGAACTTGAGGGCCTATAGCCCTCTCATAATAATCCAGATCTTGTCCGGAGAACCATGAGTTCAGAGGATCAAGAGCATACCTGATACGATGAGGCCACAGAATACCAGAAGACCACTCTTCTTTGTGTATAAATTGAACAAGCGATCCATAGGCACCCAGCTCAAACAAGAAAGCAGGAAAGAAAGAGTTTACACTCTTATATCCCTTAATCCCTTGCTGAACCGCATTCTGCTTGAACTGATCATTACATAATTGGGAATTAGGCACAGACTTCCATGTAGGAACAAAAGTGATCCCTTGTTTCAGGGGGATCTCTTTTATCCAAGGTAGTTACCTGTCAACCAACAGTGGCAGACAAGTTTGAAATTGCCCAACAAAGTCAAGAAGACGAGATAAATCCTCCACTGGCGAAATAATAGTCCCATTCATACCATGTCTATTTATTTACTCTTGATCATGTCTTTGGAGGCTAATGTCGGTGAATCGATTAATATGACATAAATCGAAAAATTATGTGATCTTTGGGAAAGAACTCCTTGCCAACTGCTTCAACTTTAGACTAGGGCAGCAACTCCTTGCACTTTGACTACCAGAATCAAGAATTAAAATATTCAAAGCCTCTCATGACTTATTTCCCATCAAATTAAAAAAAATGACTACCAGAATCAAGAATTAAAATATTCAAAGCCTATCATGACTTATTTCCCATCAAATTAAAAAAAATGAGTACCGAAATTCAAATCCCAATATAAACAAATTATTTCATGTAATTAATGGACTTACATTGAAGCTATACACAAAGCTTTTAGTATTATTAATCACCATCGAAAGCATTTATGAATTTTGTTATGATGTTAGAAATTTTATCTGATAATACTTCACATTAGTTTTACCAATGATGGGATGATTGCGGAGCTGCAATTCAAATCCTTTCACCTCTAATTAAATTTGCATATTCTAATTAGGTAGACTCTTCTGCTCAAATTTCTAAAATTCCAACATAAATTTTAGTTGAAGGCCAATCCGATATTTATGCACTCAATGCCAAATTCCATGAATTTGGTCATGAAATCTTGAAATTCATAACAATTCTTTAAATCGAAGATGTTAATTTCGAAATTATGCAGTAAAATGGTGGACAACGATTAGTATTGAAGAAAAACACTTTCTATTAACAAAGTAATCCAAGTCAATAAATCTAGGCCGTCAAGAAATCAATCTAAAAAAGATATTTCTTTTAAAAATCTTTATTTTCAAATTACGAAGAAAATTTTCAAAATTAAAGAAAGAGTATAAAATCAACTTGTCGAATTATTTAAATATTGTTGCCATTAACTTTTGATGTCACAGGTGTAGGATATCCATTCGAAAGCTACAAAACCATACTTCATTCATACATAATATTCTGTAACTCAAAACATCCACTCAGGCTCTCCGATGTGCGTTTAGGGTACAAGAAAAGGAATTTCGTCGAGCGTACCCGTGCCTAGCATTTTGCTTAGCGCACTCGGGCTCGAAATGGGCGCACCCGCAAAAACAAAAGCTTGACATACCCGCGCCAATGAGATTGATGCATTTGCACTAAAGTACCTGCACCCTGACACCAGGGTGTTGGCGGTGCCCTGGCGCTCAAAGCTTGGCGCACCCGCACGAAGGCTGGGATCAGCCTGGCGCACCCGCACCAGTCTACTGCCAACCCAATCGAAATTTTTTACTTTTGGATAGAGTTGGGATTGGCCTTGAGTTGGCTTGGAATGACCAATGGATGGTTATTTTAAGCTCCCACTTCCTCAAGGGCAAATAAGGAGCTTCCAACATGAAAAAAAAATCATTTTCTTATGGCCACTTGAAACTAAGTGCCCATTTGGGGGCGCTTATTTGGTGCGACGACGTTATGAAAACGCCGCCCACGTGTTTGTTTAACGCGTTCGGGTGATGTTTTCGTAACCCCGCCTTTCGAGTGTATAGTATATGCGGCCGCGGGATCGACCCTGTGGCCCGCGTTTGTTCGCTGCGTTTTATCTCGCTGTCTTTTCTCTCCTCTACCCTAACGCGATACCAAATCCCTCGAGCTCTCGTGCTTGATTCGACTCCTCACTAGTCCTTCGCCTCACATCTACCCTAAAATTCCTTCATACCCTCTCGTAACGGTCGATCAGTAAGTATTGTATGGAATGATTTTCTTTAGTTGGTGCTCATGCAGTTGGATTTCGTTCATCGGATTTTCTTGAGTAATGTTAGGCTTTCGAATGATTTGCTGTATGCAATTTTATCGTTTTTTGAATGTGTTTGACATTTCAGTATGTTCCTTCTCCTCTTCTCAAATTCTTCTTTCCAGTTGTGATTTCAGTAGGTTGCTGTGTTGGGGTTTTTGTCTTGCCATTTCAGTATGTTTCTTTGGTTTGATTTGCCAAGAGCAAGTTATGCTTGTAGTGCAATTGGCCTTCATGGGAGCATGTTCGAATGAACAATTTTTTAGTGAATGGTTGCGGTGCATATTTGGATCTAACCCATTTTGGTTGTTGTTCACATTTCATTGGATGATTGAATTCACAATTGGTACCATCATATAATTGAAGAAAATAATATTTTGCCTACATGAAAATAACTGAAGACTACAATGTAATACATCATCTGCATAACCAAAAAACTGATCCTCTCGATATATTTGAGAATTCTTTTTAGAGGATTAATTAATCACGGGGCTTGCATAGTATTAAGCCTCAAACCAGTAATATAAATTCTCCATGATGAAATTTATAGAAAATTCTTAAACGCTCCAGTCTAGTCTAACTAATAATGTGGGCACATTATTAAATTTTGAGATTTTCATATTTTTTGGGGCCAACTTTGCAGATTTTTGTGTTGTTTAGTTTGTTTGGCAGAGTGAAGTGAGCTTTTGCTAGTTTGGCTTCTCCTTATGTGTCTGGCCAAGAGAGAGAATTTTAAAATTTGGAGTCAACTTGATCTCTTTGAAATGAGATACCTAAGGTTTTGAATATCCCCGCTTCTAAATTTTTTGATCCAATATAACTCTTTTATGCAATACTAAAATCA